TATGATATGTTTCTAGAAAGTTTGTTTACTTGGCTTGGATTTATGATATGTGTTGAAGTCTTAATTATTCTATGATATTTCTGTTTACACTAGCTTATCCTTGCTTTTGTCTTTATTAGTCTGTGTGTTTTCTCTTTTGCGATAACCACCTTAAAATGGTGTGAGCTTAAGGATCATATCTTTTCAGTTGTTTCAGTGAGAGATTGATGGTGAAACAACAACATTGATAAATTTTGTTCTCTAGATATATAATCTTCTTCATAAAAAAACATGCAATTCCTTAGTAATTATTATCTTTATAACTATTATCTTTATAACTATTACTTTAATAATTTTTATGTTAGTAAAACGGGATGTTATAATATGTGTTATTGAAATCAAACACAATATTAAGAATTTGGATAAGAAAGAAACAAAAATATGTCTAAAATCTTAATTATATTTACCAAATTATATTTTGTTTTGTGTGTTTATATAATTGATATGATTTTAGTTTTAATATAGTTAATTTGAAAAAAAAAATAAAACAATGTTTTCTATACTTATATAAAAGAAACTTCTTCTTTTTTGTGTATGCATTTATTTTTCAAATTTATCTTTTAAATTAATTTATTTTAATTAAAATAATTATTTCATTAATTTTATCGTTTCATAATTTTTTTTTAATTTAACTGATTTTTTAAACTTAACTATTTTTTAATTATAAAATTACCTATAAAATAAGTATAAATTATTTATAATAAAATTATAAAAAAATTTATATTTAATTTTATAATTATAATAAAAATGATAATAATAATTTTATTATTTTTTATTATCATAAAAAAATAAACATACATTGATTTTTATAAAGATAATTTAAGTTTTAGATGTTTATTTGTATCCTTGTTAAAGTTCTCTATATATGATTTAGAGATTACATTTAAATGGATAGTAAAACCAAAATGTGAAACTCAATATATAAATGTTAAATTTGGGAATACTTAGTAAAATAAAAAATTTAATAGAAAATTAATTCATAATACTCAGATTTACTAATGAATTAAAAACTCAATGAAGCCAAAGAAAAAGATGTAAACCGTTCCTTTCCATTTCGGCTTTAGTCGACTAGCACCATGCCTATCTCCACAGGCCTCTTCTCTCGCCGGAACCCTTACCTCNTTTAAATTAATTTATTTTAATTAAAATAATTATTTCATTAATTTTATCGTTTCATAATTTTTTTTTAATTTAACTGATTTTTTAAACTTAACTATTTTTTAATTATAAAATTACCTATAAAATAAGTATAAATTATTTATAATAAAATTATAAAAAAATTTATATTTAATTTTATAATTATAATAAAAATGATAATAATAATTTTATTATTTTTTATTATCATAAAAAAATAAACATACATTGATTTTTATAAAGATAATTTAAGTTTTAGATGTTTATTTGTATCCTTGTTAAAGTTCTCTATATATGATTTAGAGATTACATTTAAATGGATAGTAAAACCAAAATGTGAAACTCAATATATAAATGTTAAATTTGGGAATACTTAGTAAAATAAAAAATTTAATAGAAAATTAATTCATAATACTCAGATTTACTAATGTATTAAAAACTCAATGAAGCCAAAGAAAAAGATGTAAACCGTTCCTTTCCATTTCGGCTTTAGTCGACTAGCACCATGCCTATCTCCACAGGCCTCTTCTCTCGCCGGAACCCTTACCTCTTCCTCAAAACCCCTCGCAGACTCATTGCATCTCAAGCCCAAGCCCAAGCCCAAGCTCAGCCCAGCATAAAGCCCCTCCGCGTCCTCTTCGACGAAGCCATTGGCCATTCCAAGAAAAGCATCACCTCCGACTCCGACGAAGAGCGAACCGAATCAAAATCCGCAACCGAACTGAAGAACAATCTGAAGCAGTTGGAGCAAGACATTAAGACCTTCAAAGAGAAAACATCAGGGATTCCTAAAAGGATGACCTTGTTTGCTGCGTTTACGAATAAACAACCTCCAACGAAACCAAAGGAGAATAAGCAACCTCCCACGAAACCAAAGGAACCAGTGATTGTCAAAGAGCTTTCACCCGACATGAAGATGTTTGCGCAGCACTTGTTCGAGAAGGGTTATTTTAAAGACGCCAATTTCTCACAGTCGAAGAAAAAATTTGATCATGGTTGGTTTACCAGTTTCTACGCATTAGGGTATATCAAGTTTGCCGCCCAGAGATTCGCCAGAGATAACCAGGAAATTGCCAAGTAAGATCAAACGAAGCCGTTACAACTTATATTTTTAATCATAATTATTAATATCGTATACTGTTCCGCTCTCGATGATGAATGAACATATGGAGTTTTTTCAAGCTCGGGTTTTGTCCTCAAATTGGTTTTTCTTATTGTTTTGATTTGGGTTTGGTTCTAATTCGTAGAGGGAGGATATTTTTCGTTATTTTGATAATATAATGTATCTGAACTTCAACATTTATGGTTTGATGTGTTAGTTTGGTGCTTGTCGTTTTAGTTCCTGATTTTTTCTTTGTGTTGTCTCTTTTTTAAATTGCGAATAAAAATAAAAATAGAGTCTCTGAAAGTGTGAATCACTGTCAAATCAGTGCAAAAATAAAAAAGCGTGGGACTACAGCTATAATGTATTAGCTAAGCAACTAACATTTTCAAGGAGTGAAGTAACCATTTACTACAAGAAAATGCTTTTAACTATGAAATGTTTAGCTAATATTATATTGTGGTGGAAAGATTACTCATATATCTTATTTGAGGATTGAGTTTGTTTTTCATATTTATAGATGATTTGATGCCTTATGGAAGAAAATCCTTAGAATTATTTAGTGCCCATTTAGCTGACTTGCATTGCTGAGAAAATGATCAAATTTCGGATTTCACATCTTTTGCATTGTTTTTGCAATATTGCAAACCTTTGTATAATGAAATACCAACATTTGTTTTCAGAAGGAATTGGCAGAACGGTAAATTATTCTTTTCCTTGGTGTTTCTATTTCATAGTTTTCCCCAAATGACTTATATTTATCATGGAATTGGATTGACAGATGGTTATCAGGAAGTGCCTTGAAGCAAGTGGCTACATTTGGTTGCTCTCACACCAGTAACAGTGCTGTCTTTCCAGCTAAAAGGCTGCGGAAGTTTTTTGAGGTCCCAGAAAACACTGTAAGGTTTATGGCATGCATGAAAGGCATAGCATGTAGTTGTTTATGGCATTGTTCTTGAATCAGGATTTTAATGTCACTTTGACACAGTCATAATAAAGGTCTGGTTTATAGGTTAGTATAGGTCACCAAAGTGAACTTCAACTTTGATTAAAGAACAGCATTAAAAATAGTTAAGAAACTGCATCAGATGGTTTGTTTTATTAAGTTGCTTGATTGAAACCTTATTGAAAAAGTATGTAAGTGTATATGTGTATAAGTTGTTTTATAAGTGAAAACAAAATAAGATTAAGGTTAAATTGTTTCATATTACTCATAAGTTTTGTTCACAAATATGTTAGAGAACTTGTTGAAATAAGCTGGAAACACCTTATAACTTATGGAAAGATTATAAGCTAGTTTTAAGGTCTCACAAATCTTATACAGATGCTTATGTTATGAGTACAAATGTTTATACACCTGAAGTTTTACCCTGTATTATATGTATCTGCTTAGCTATACATATGTTTTCTTTTGCCATCAGGTTTGCTGTAAATGCACCCTGCAACAAACATGCAAGTTTAGAAATCAAAGTGTATGGAATGTTAGCACAAATAATTTGGAATTAGTGACAGTTATGAAGGTTATCACTTCATATGGTTTAGAGTCAGTTCACCCCCAGCTGGTAGTGCCTGATGTGGTAAAGAAGTCAGTGAGTCAATTGCTGAAGGAGATTGTGAAACTGAGTCCAACCACTTGAGATTGCTTCTGATTGACCACTTTTTTCTCTTCATAATCTTGTGAACATGATCTTCAGGCCTTGCAGACCATTTATTGAGATTACTCTTCTTGCTACCCAAGCTAAAAGCTTCCAAAATGATACTCTCCTAAATGCTCCATTTCTGGTGAGTGACAACGTTTTCATTGGATAAAGAGCTTGCTTGAAATAGGCACAAATGTATGGACTGGAATATGGTGTGACTTTCATTAGTTATAAGTTTTGGTTTGGGATAAGGTGACGTTTTATTAGAAAAAAAATATTAAGAAAAAGATTATTGAATTCTTTGGTTCATCTTAATTTAAAATAATAGTGATATATTTTTTCTTGATTCTATTTTTAAAAATTTAATTGATTATTAAACATGCACACTCAATGAACGACAACCACAAAATAACATGTCCATTTTTGGTTTAACATGTAATTTTGGACTTAAACAGGCAATCAGTTTCTGCAAACATGGTCTTTGAGATGCCCGTTAAANAGTTTTAATATAGTTAATTTGAAAAAAAAAATAAAACAATGTTTTCTATACTTATATAAAAGAAACTTCTTCTTTTTTGTGTATGCATTTATTTTTCAAATTTATCTTTTAAATTAATTTATTTTAATTAAAATAATTATTTCATTAATTTTATCGTTTCATAATTTTTTTTTAATTTAACTGATTTTTTAAACTTAACTATTTTTTAATTATAAAATTACCTATAAAATAAGTATAAATTATTTATAATAAAATTATAAAAAAATTTATATTTAATTTTATAATTATAATAAAAATGATAATAATAATTTTATTATTTTTTATTATCATAAAAAAATAAACATACATTGATTTTTATAAAGATAATTTAAGTTTTAGATGTTTATTTGTATCCTTGTTAAAGTTCTCTATATATGATTTAGAGATTACATTTAAATGGATAGTAAAACCAAAATGTGAAACTCAATATATAAATGTTAAATTTGGGAATACTTAGTAAAATAAAAAATTTAATAGAAAATTAATTCATAATACTCAGATTTACTAATGAATTAAAAACTCAATGAAGCCAAAGAAAAAGATGTAAACCGTTCCTTTCCATTTCGGCTTTAGTCGACTAGCACCATGCCTATCTCCACAGGCCTCTTCTCTCGCCGGAACCCTTACCTCCTCCTCAAAACCCCTCGCAGACTCATTGCATCTCAAGCCCAAGCCCAAGCCCAAGCTCAGCCCAGCACAAAGCCCCTCCGCGTCCTCTTCGACGAAGCCATTGGCCATTCCAAGAAAAGCAGCACCTCCGACTCCGACGAAGAGCGAACCGAATCAAAATCCGCAACCGAACTGAAGAACAATCTGAAGCAGTTGGAGCAAGACATTAAGACCTTCAAAGAGAAAACATCAGGGATTCCTAAAAGGATGACCTTGTTTGCTGCGTTTACGAATAAACAACCTCCAACGAAACCAAAGGAGAATAAGCAACCTCCCACGAAACCAAAGGAACCAGTGATTGTCAAAGAGCTTTCACCCGACATGAAGATGTTTGCGCAGCACTTGTTCGAGAAGGGTTATTTTAAAGACGCCAATTTCTCACAGTCGAAGAAAAAATTTGATCATGGTTGGTTTACCAGTTTCTACGCATTAGGGTATATCAAGTTTGCCGCCCAGAGATTCGCCAGAGATAACCAGGAAATTGCCAAGTAAGATCAAACGAAGCCGTTACAACTTATATTTTTAATCATAATTATTAATATCGTATACTGTTCCGCTCTCGATGATGAATGAACATATGGAGTTTTTTCAAGCTCGGGTTTTGTCCTCAAATTGGTTTTTCTTATTGTTTTGATTTGGGTTTGGTTCTAATTCGTAGAGGGAGGATATTTTTCGTTATTTTGATAATATAATGTATCTGAACTTCAACATTTATGGTTTGATGTGTTAGTTTGGTGCTTGTCGTTTTAGTTCCTGATTTTTTCTTTGTGTTGTCTCTTTTTTAAATTGCGAATAAAAATAAAAATAGAGTCTCTGAAAGTGTGAATCACTGTCAAATCAGTGCAAAAATAAAAAAGCGTGGGACTACAGCTATAATGTATTAGCTAAGCAACTAACACTTTCAAGGAGTGAAGTAACCATTTACTACAAGAAAATGCTTTTAACTATGAAATGTTTAGCTAATATTATATTGTGGTGGAAAGATTACTCATATATCTTATTTGAGGATTGAGTTTGTTTTTCATATTTATAGATGATTTGATGCCTTATGGAAGAAAATCCTTAGAATTATTTAGTGCCCATTTAGCTGACTTGCATTGCTGAGAAAATGATCAAATTTCGGATTTCACATCTTTTGCATTGTTTTTGCAATATTGCAAACCTTTGTATAATGAAATACCAACATTTGTTTTCAGAAGGAATTGGCAGAACGGTAAATTATTCTTTTCCTTGGTGTTTCTATTTCATAGTTTTCCCCAAATGACTTATATTTATCATGGAATTGGATTGACAGATGGTTATCAGGAAGTGCCTTGAAGCAAGTGGCTACATTTGGTTGCTCTCACACCAGTAACAGTGCTGTCTTTCCAGCTAAAAGGCTGCGGAAGTTTTTTGAGGTCCCAGAAAACACTGTAAGGTTTATGGCATGCATGAAAGGCATAGCATGTAGTTGTTTATGGCATTGTTCTTGAATCAGGATTTTAATGTCACTTTGACACAGTCATAATAAAGGTCTGGTTTATAGGTTAGTATAGGTCACCAAAGTGAACTTCAACTTTGATTAAAGAACAGCATTAAAAATAGTTAAGAAACTGCATCAGATGGTTTGTTTTATTAAGTTGCTTGATTGAAACCTTATTGAAAAAGTATGTAAGTGTATATGTGTATAAGTTGTTTTATAAGTGAAAACAAAATAAGATTAAGGTTAAATTGTTTCATATTACTCATAAGTTTTGTTCACAAATATGTTAGAGAACTTGTTGAAATAAGCTGGAAACACCTTATAACTTATGGAAAGATTATAAGCTAGTTTTAAGGTCTCACAAATCTTATACAGATGCTTATGTTATGAGTACAAATGTTTATACACCTGAAGTTTTACCCTGTATTATATGTATCTGCTTAGCTATACATATGTTTTCTTTTGCCATCAGGTTTGCTGTAAATGCACCCTGCAACAAACATGCAAGTTTAGAAATCAAAGTGTATGGAATGTTAGCACAAATAATTTGGAATTAGTGACAGTTATGAAGGTTATCACTTCATATGGTTTAGAGTCAGTTCACCCCCAGCTGGTAGTGCCTGATGTGGTAAAGAAGTCAGTGAGTCAATTGCTGAAGGAGATTGTGAAACTGAGTCCAACCACTTGAGATTGCTTCTGATTGACCACTTTTTTCTCTTCATAATCTTGTGAACATGATCTTCAGGCCTTGCAGACCATTTATTGAGATTACTCTTCTTGCTACCCAAGCTAAAAGCTTCCAAAATGATACTCTCCTAAATGCTCCATTTCTGGTGAGTGACAACGTTTTCATTGGATAAAGAGCTTGCTTGAAATAGGCACAAATGTATGGACTGGAATATGGTGTGACTTTCATTAGTTATAAGTTTTGGTTTGGGATAAGGTGACGTTTTATTAGAAAAAAAATATTAAGAAAAAGATTATTGAATTCTTTGGTTCATCTTAATTTAAAATAATAGTGATATATTTTTTCTTGATTCTATTTTTAAAAATTTAATTGATTATTAAACATGCACACTCAATGAACGACAACCACAAAATAACATGTCCATTTTTGGTTTAACATGTAATTTTGGACTTAAACAGGCAATCAGTTTCTGCAAACATGGTCTTTGAGATGCCCGTTAAACCCTTCACACATTTTTTCAACGTCACCTATTTGATGGCTCCGCCACGAAGGCACCACCGGCCCCACTCACGGAAGGGCAGTTTGCGATGACAACGGACAATAAAAAACATGAAAACCATGAGAAGGTCGCATTGACGTGAATGCAAATTTCCATTTTGTGGTAGGAGGGAAGGCGGAGTAGGATTGAATCAACGAGGAAGATAGGTGGGTCGCACAATCCGAAAGATATTATTTTCTACAATATATTTTGAATTATGTAATTTAAAATAAATTTTCAGATTTAAAATATATTTTGAATTATATAATTTGAAATATATTACTTTTTAAAATACATCTTGGATTGTATAATATATTTCTGAATCTGAAAATTTACACAATGGAATATTTTGTCTTTTTGAAATACATTATATACAATCTAGAAAATAATCTTTTATTAAGAATAAAATGGCTATTATATGATGTATATGGGAATGTAAGAAGCAGTTATCCTGAAAACATAAACAAATCGGTTCAGCCCAACCTACATTCAAATTCATGAAATCACCTTCATATGACAATAAAGATAAATCCATAAAAATAATGGGTGCACAAAGTTTCTCTTCCCTGCTTTTTTTTATAATAATGTAACTTAAGTTGAATTAAATTCCTATCTTTATTTTATTTTTTTGAACATAAGTTTTTTCTAATTTAGTAGTGTATAATAAGGATCGATTTATAGTAATGAGCCGATAGGTGTCGAACGGCCACCCCAAGTAGAATAAGCATGCAAGACCTAAAAGTGAAAAACTTAGTGCATAATAACGCGATACAAAACATTGAATATTTAGTATTAATAGTTAGATGATTGATTGACTATTAGAGATATCGACCGGTCGAATGGTAAATGTGGTTTAATCAGTTTGGAAATAGGTTATTGTAAATCAGCTTAATAATCATGTTTAAGGTATGCTCGTGCCTTAATTAAGTAAGTGGCAAGTAAAAGTTCATTATAATTTATTTAAATAGGAGATTCAAACAAGATAGTTTGTTATATGACTACATTTAATACCTTTGCATTCAAACCATTTCTAATTAAGCATCAAAGTATTTTTTACAAATATCATTGGAACGATTTTGATGAATGAACAATGTTGGAGATCAGACGGATCAATCATAGGAGCAGTTGAAGACAAGATACTTGGAGTTAAGAGTTCTCAAGTAATTCCACAAAAAACATTTTTGTGTCATGGGGCCAGACGAGCTCTTATTTACTCACATGGTGATCATAAGGAACATGACGAATAACTTGTTTTAGAGAAAATCTCAAACGAGCAACAGATGGATCCTATGGAGATTATGAGAAATATGTAAAGGCAGATGGATGCTATAAAGAGGATGTATGAGGGAGAGTTGAAAGCCTTGCGAGAAGAAAATGTGTTACTTAGGCAAGAAAGGGGAATGATGAAGCTTGTGCCTTCCACCCCTAATGATGGCATACCCCTTGCCATGACCTAGCACATTCATGAAGAATTGGAGGCATATATGGAAGATGGGCCTAGACTCTTTCTCTTGGGCCATCTTAAGTCATCTTAGATCAAGACTAGAGAAACCCATGAGGCCCCTTGATAACGATTGAAAATACCGTTATCTATGATGTAATTTTGACACTAAATGCACCCTTTTCTACTTAGAAACCTGCTTGGAATCATGTTTTTCTATTAAGTTGTGTGAATAAGAGAGTTGAGGTTGAACTTAATGATTTTATGACTAAATTCCCTTGTTTTAGTAGGTTAATGAAGTGATTTGGAAGAGGAGTCAAAGTATGAAGGAGTCGGAACTCAAGGATTGAGCAGAACTGTAGAAAAAGAGAAAAAAACGCAGTACTTAAAAAATCCGCGAGGCTTGGGCGTCCCTTAGGGGGCTTGAGCGCCCCTTTTGGATGCTTAAGCGCCAGAAAGTACCGTTTGACGCCCGGGCGCCCCACTTAGAGCACTTGAGCGCCAGCGACATGGGATGAACCTTGCTTTTGTTTTGATTCAACTCTATTTAAAGGACCCAGATGCCCTAGGTTTTGTATCTTTGGCAGGAGGAGTGCAGCAACACACTCTTTCACTCTTTGGAGGCGGATTTGGATGCGGGAGCTTCCATCTCCAATTTTTAGGGTTTTCCTATCTCATTCTTCTCCATTATTCATCTAGTTTCACCATATCTATGGTGAACTAACTTCTATTTGTTGTTGGGGGATGATGTAACCTTGTGAACTCTCATGTATTTGAATTCATTCTTGATAATATATGTTTTTTCATTAATTGTTAGAGTAATTCATCTGTTACAACGCTTACTTTGTTTAACTCATTAAATAGCATGATTTATGAATTGCATGAGTGTCGGGAGGTTCCTTACAATTCATGTTCTTGTTGAATTACTCCCAAGAGTAATATTTCTCAGGGAGGAAGGTATGATTCTTGGTCGTCTTAAAGCTCTTGATCTTCACATTTAATTACTAGGAATGCTAGGAATTGCATGAACTAGTGATTAAAGACATGCTTATTTTGTCGAGGGATCCGGTTTAAGTGATTTAGTGAGTGACGTTAACATTAATGCATAAAGAAGAATTCTTACATACATGAGAGGGAACTTGNGCCCAGAGATTCGCCAGAGATAACCAGGAAATTGCCAAGTAAGATCAAACGAAGCCGTTACAACTTATATTTTTAATCATAATTATTAATATCGTATACTGTTCCGCTCTCGATGATGAATGAACATATGGAGTTTTTTCAAGCTCGGGTTTTGTCCTCAAATTGGTTTTTCTTATTGTTTTGATTTGGGTTTGGTTCTAATTCGTAGAGGGAGGATATTTTTCGTTATTTTGATAATATAATGTATCTGAACTTCAACATTTATGGTTTGATGTGTTAGTTTGGTGCTTGTCGTTTTAGTTCCTGATTTTTTCTTTGTGTTGTCTCTTTTTTAAATTGCGAATAAAAATAAAAATAGAGTCTCTGAAAGTGTGAATCACTGTCAAATCAGTGCAAAAATAAAAAAGCGTGGGACTACAGCTATAATGTATTAGCTAAGCAACTAACACTTTCAAGGAGTGAAGTAACCATTTACTACAAGAAAATGCTTTTAACTATGAAATGTTTAGCTAATATTATATTGTGGTGGAAAGATTACTCATATATCTTATTTGAGGATTGAGTTTGTTTTTCATATTTATAGATGATTTGATGCCTTATGGAAGAAAATCCTTAGAATTATTTAGTGCCCATTTAGCTGACTTGCATTGCTGAGAAAATGATCAAATTTCGGATTTCACATCTTTTGCATTGTTTTTGCAATATTGCAAACCTTTGTATAATGAAATACCAACATTTGTTTTCAGAAGGAATTGGCAGAACGGTAAATTATTCTTTTCCTTGGTGTTTCTATTTCATAGTTTTCCCCAAATGACTTATATTTATCATGGAATTGGATTGACAGATGGTTATCAGGAAGTGCCTTGAAGCAAGTGGCTACATTTGGTTGCTCTCACACCAGTAACAGTGCTGTCTTTCCAGCTAAAAGGCTGCGGAAGTTTTTTGAGGTCCCAGAAAACACTGTAAGGTTTATGGCATGCATGAAAGGCATAGCATGTAGTTGTTTATGGCATTGTTCTTGAATCAGGATTTTAATGTCACTTTGACACAGTCATAATAAAGGTCTGGTTTATAGGTTAGTATAGGTCACCAAAGTGAACTTCAACTTTGATTAAAGAACAGCATTAAAAATAGTTAAGAAACTGCATCAGATGGTTTGTTTTATTAAGTTGCTTGATTGAAACCTTATTGAAAAAGTATGTAAGTGTATATGTGTATAAGTTGTTTTATAAGTGAAAACAAAATAAGATTAAGGTTAAATTGTTTCATATTACTCATAAGTTTTGTTCACAAATATGTTAGAGAACTTGTTGAAATAAGCTGGAAACACCTTATAACTTATGGAAAGATTATAAGCTAGTTTTAAGGTCTCACAAATCTTATACAGATGCTTATGTTATGAGTACAAATGTTTATACACCTGAAGTTTTACCCTGTATTATATGTATCTGCTTAGCTATACATATGTTTTCTTTTGCCATCAGGTTTGCTGTAAATGCACCCTGCAACAAACATGCAAGTTTAGAAATCAAAGTGTATGGAATGTTAGCACAAATAATTTGGAATTAGTGACAGTTATGAAGGTTATCACTTCATATGGTTTAGAGTCAGTTCACCCCCAGCTGGTAGTGCCTGATGTGGTAAAGAAGTCAGTGAGTCAATTGCTGAAGGAGATTGTGAAACTGAGTCCAACCACTTGAGATTGCTTCTGATTGACCACTTTTTTCTCTTCATAATCTTGTGAACATGATCTTCAGGCCTTGCAGACCATTTATTGAGATTACTCTTCTTGCTACCCAAGCTAAAAGCTTCCAAAATGATACTCTCCTAAATGCTCCATTTCTGGTGAGTGACAACGTTTTCATTGGATAAAGAGCTTGCTTGAAATAGGCACAAATGTATGGACTGGAATATGGTGTGACTTTCATTAGTTATAAGTTTTGGTTTGGGATAAGGTGACGTTTTATTAGAAAAAAAATATTAAGAAAAAGATTATTGAATTCTTTGGTTCATCTTAATTTAAAATAATAGTGATATATTTTTTCTTGATTCTATTTTTAAAAATTTAATTGATTATTAAACATGCACACTCAATGAACGACAACCACAAAATAACATGTCCATTTTTGGTTTAACATGTAATTTTGGACTTAAACAGGCAATCAGTTTCTGCAAACATGGTCTTTGAGATGCCCGTTAAACCCTTCACACATTTTTTCAACGTCACCTATTTGATGGCTCCGCCACGAAGGCACCACCGGCCCCACTCACGGAAGGGCAGTTTGCGATGACAACGGACAATAAAAAACATGAAAACCATGAGAAGGTCGCATTGACGTGAATGCAAATTTCCATTTTGTGGTAGGAGGGAAGGCGGAGTAGGATTGAATCAACGAGGAAGATAGGTGGGTCGCACAATCCGAAAGATATTATTTTCTACAATATATTTTGAATTATGTAATTTAAAATAAATTTTCAGATTTAAAATATATTTTGAATTATATAATTTGAAATATATTACTTTTTAAAATACATCTTGGATTGTATAATATATTTCTGAATCTGAAAATTTACACAATGGAATATTTTGTCTTTTTGAAATACATTATATACAATCTAGAAAATAATCTTTTATTAAGAATAAAATGGCTATTATATGATGTATATGGGAATGTAAGAAGCAGTTATCCTGAAAACATAAACAAATCGGTTCAGCCCAACCTACATTCAAATTCATGAAATCACCTTCATATGACAATAAAGATAAATCCATAAAAATAATGGGTGCACAAAGTTTCTCTTCCCTGCTTTTTTTTATAATAATGTAACTTAAGTTGAATTAAATTCCTATCTTTATTTTATTTTTTTGAACATAAGTTTTTTCTAATTTAGTAGTGTATAATAAGGATCGATTTATAGTAATGAGCCGATAGGTGTCGAACGGCCACCCCAAGTAGAATAAGCATGCAAGACCTAAAAGTGAAAAACTTAGTGCATAATAACGCGATACAAAACATTGAATATTTAGTATTAATAGTTAGATGATTGATTGACTATTAGAGATATCGACCGGTCGAATGGTAAATGTGGTTTAATCAGTTTGGAAATAGGTTATTGTAAATCAGCTTAATAATCATGTTTAAGGTATGCTCGTGCCTTAATTAAGTAAGTGGCAAGTAAAAGTTCATTATAATTTATTTAAATAGGAGATTCAAACAAGATAGTTTGTTATATGACTACATTTAATACCTTTGCATTCAAACCATTTCTAATTAAGCATCAAAGTATTTTTTACAAATATCATTGGAACGATTTTGATGAATGAACAATGTTGGAGATCAGACGGATCAATCATAGGAGCAGTTGAAGACAAGATACTTGGAGTTAAGAGTTCTCAAGTAATTCCACAAAAAACATTTTTGTGTCATGGGGCCAGACGAGCTCTTATTTACTCACATGGTGATCATAAGGAACATGACGAATAACTTGTTTTAGAGAAAATCTCAAACGAGCAACAGATGGATCCTATGGAGATTATGAGAAATATGTAAAGGCAGATGGATGCTATAAAGAGGATGTATGAGGGAGAGTTGAAAGCCTTGCGAGAAGAAAATGTGTTACTTAGGCAAGAAAGGGGAATGATGAAGCTTGTGCCTTCCACCCCTAATGATGGCATACCCCTTGCCATGACCTAGCACATTCATGAAGAATTGGAGGCATATATGGAAGATGGGCCTAGACTCTTTCTCTTGGGCCATCTTAAGTCATCTTAGATCAAGACTAGAGAAACCCATGAGGCCCCTTGATAACGATTGAAAATACCGTTATCTATGATGTAATTTTGACACTAAATGCACCCTTTTCTACTTAGAAACCTGCTTGGAATCATGTTTTTCTATTAAGTTGTGTGAATAAGAGAGTTGAGGTTGAACTTAATGATTTTATGACTAAATTCCCTTGTTTTAGTAGGTTAATGAAGTGATTTGGAAGAGGAGTCAAAGTATGAAGGAGTCGGAACTCAAGGATTGAGCAGAACTGTAGAAAAAGAGAAAAAAACGCAGTACTGAAAAAATCCGCGAGGCTTGGGCGTCCCTTAGGGGGCTTGAGCGCCCCTTTTGGATGCTTAAGCGCCAGAAAGTACCGTTTGACGCCCGGGCGCCCCACTTAGAGCACTTGAGCGCCAGCGACATGGGATGAACCTTGCTTTTGTTTTGATTCAACTCTATTTAAAGGACCCAGATGCCCTAGGTTTTGTATCTTTGGCAGGAGGAGTGCAGCAACACACTCTTTCACTCTTTGGAGGCGGATTTGGATGCGGGAGCTTCCATCTCCAAATTTTAGGGTTTTCCTATCTCATTCTTCTCCATTATTCATCTAGTTTCACCATATCTATGGTGAACTAACTTCTATTTGTTGTTGGGGGATGATGTAACCTTGTGAACTCTCATGTATTTGAATTCATTCTTGATAATATATGTTTTTTCATTAATTGTTAGAGTAATTCATCTGTTACAACGCTTACTTTGTTTAACTCATTAAATAGCATGATTTATGAATTGTGTGAGTGTCGGGAGGTTCCTTACAATTCATGTTCTTGTTGAATTACTCCCAAGAGTAATATTTCTCAGGGAGGAAGGTATGATTCTTGGTCGATTTAAGCTCTTGATCTTCACATTTAATTACTAGGAATGCTAGGAATTGCATGAACTAGTGATTAAAGACATGCTTATTTTGTCGAGGGATCCGGTTTAAGTGATTTAGTGAGTGACGTTAACATTAATGCATAAAGAAGAATTCTTACATACATGAGAGGGAACTTGACGAAATCTAACCCCAACAACATACTCATCTCATATTAAACAACATTTGTTCATCATTGTGCTACTCTGTTATCGATCAACTTGCATTCATATTTAATTTTCTATTTTTGCATTTGAAACCAATGATCTCGTTTTCTTTAAGTCTTAATTAATCGAGTTATCACACGACTGTCTAGTGCCGAGAGTCCCTTGGGATATGATACTTGGTCTTACCATTTTATATTACTTGTGCGATTCGGTACACTTGCCGATCGATCAACACCCCTCTAGTAACCTTCCTCCAAGAGTTGGCCCGACCTCTCTTAAAGAACCTTAAACACATCTTCCCTCACCATACAACTCACTAAAACCATGAGCTATCAACACCTTTCAGCACCACCAAATTCCGCTATCTTCATCCATGAACTTATGGCTTGATTTGCTTCTAGATTTGCCTTATCCTAGCTAGAGCATTGCCATCACCTAACCTACCTGAACTGACCAAGCAGTAATGTAACAAACTGGATCTTCTGGTTTAAGAGAAAAGTATCAATGGAAGCAAGCATCCTTACCCGTATGCTCCAATCATAGTTAACATGTTGGGAATGCATTCGTTCAACAACTATATTATGGAAGCCCCTCTGCTTGTAATTGGAGAATGTTGTTGTTTGAAAAGTATGATGGGTCCACTGACCCAGACAAACATGAAAGCATGTTTTTGATTTAGATGGCATTGTATGCGACGAATGAAGACATTTAGTGTAAAGCCACCGACACTACGTGCACCAGTGCACTATACTCAACATGAGCCGAAGCCATTGGGCAAGATATCCCACCCTTTTGTTTCCTCTCGTAAGAGGAAGCGTGACACTCAAATCTTTGTTTCCACACAAGAACCAAACTCCTTAACGTGTCATACATAATCATTTACTTACATTACCAATACTAAGAAAACAAGTAACCTTAAGTAGACCCTACATGGGTCCACCAATGCACACCAAAATTTGCATCTTACATAACTAGAAATAACATGCACATAACCTAATCCTTTGGGCCTCTCTTTTCCAGGAGAACTCTTCGTGCAAAAAGCCCACCCAAGCCACGTGTCTTCTATCTAAAACACTATCATCACTTATTTATGGTAACAACACATCTTCAACTCTGCACCTATGAATAACAATAGGTCAGGTCAGACACAGATAGTGTGATACCTGAACCCGACCCGCATGTAAGAAACTATACACATATCTGCTTCGCTACCCGCCGGATACCCATATAAAAAAACCCGTAGATTTTTTTCAAGAAAATGGGCCAAACCCAAACCCTTTTTTAAGGTTTCTTCCTCAAGTTCAGAGTAGTGGTCCTTTTCCTACCCATCTCGTGTGGTTCGAAAGCAGAGGAAGTCCTTAGCAGCCTCGACGAGGGACAACTACTTCTTTCACGACATTACAGCGATGCTTCCACCGACGTCCCAAGCACCGCCATCGCATCCATTTGGGAGACCGAGAGGAGCAAAACCCTTTCTTTCCCTTATTTTTCAGAAACGACAAACCCTAAGGTTTCTTCACTTCAACAGATATGGACATGGCAGCCACCTCTTTCGACCCTTCTATTGCCGCTCTTGCGTCAATCATCGTCGGTCAGTCGATCCTCTTCTTCACTAGTGCAGAATTGGCTTTTAACGTCCCCCCATAGACGTTCGTCCACAAAAGCCCCAACATAAATAATTGACCGGTGGCATATTCGTAAGTAAGTGAAACTCTAGACGTCCGTTGGGGGGAAGAACGTCTATAATATTATAGACGTCTGTGGGAGGGGCACGGACGTCTAAGAGGCTGAACAAATGAACGCTTCAACTCTCCTGTCAGCCCACTAAACGTCCGTTGGGGAGAGGGACTGATGTCTGTAATATTATAGACGTCCGGCCCCCCATATCAGACGTTTAGGGTGCTGCTAGGGTGGTTGAAGAATTAATTGTCTTCAGCCCCTTAAACGTCCGTTGGGGAGGGGGACGGACGTCTATAATATTATAGACATCCAGGCCCCTCCCCAACGGACGTTTAGTGGGCTGACA